AATGTGGCCATCAGAAATGTAAACAAACAAATATATTAGGATATTCGTCGATCAGTAGAACAGAAAAGGCATTGAGTTGGACGTCCAACGATGTTTGTTCGCCTACGATGTACATTCACTTTCATATTCAGGTGGTTCACATACATACCTAGTCTTAAGGCCCATTCTCAATGCAAACATAAACATAAGCATGGCGTGAACATAAAAGTTAGGTCTACGGTCACTAGCGGACTCATTCACAATGCGTTCGCATAAGCATAACATGTAAGACGTTAACTTAAAAGCTTGCAAGCTTCAAGCTTCAGTGCTTATGCTTACGTAAGACATGAACTATTCACAGAACGGTAACTCAAAATCGAGAATCGAAATTGGGGCGAAGTCGATAGAAGAACTAACGCCATATGGGACATAGACGCAGTCGATATCTTGAAATCGATTCTCTCATCCAACCAGAAAGTTTCACAGCCAATAGAAACTTTTTTTACTTACGTTTATGTTAAGCATTGAGAATACTTCAGTCTATCACTTATGTTAATGTTTATGTCTATGCGCTATGCTTATGTTTGAATTGTGAATGGGCCTTTATTCTAATGACGTACGAACGGCGAATTTGAGAACTATCGAAGCGATTAACGTAGAATTATCTTCAGTACTACGAAAACATTCGGGGCACCTTTTCTAGCAATTGAATAACATATAATATTATTTGAATCGAGTCATGTTTTGTCTCAAAATGTGCCCATCAGATAAGTAAACAAACAAATATATCACGATACTTGTCGATCAATAATCAATTTCGTATCTATGGCAATCACCAGTTATGAAGTGACCGATTTTGTATTAAGCAAGCAATTCACTCATGTTTTGGGAAGTTGTGTTACTCCAACCAAGTTATTTCTTTTTCTGCTCGACTAATATGCTGGAGATAACGACGAATATCCTGATATGTTTGTTTGTTTACTTTTCTGATGGGCACATTTTGTGTCAAAACATGACTTGATTCAATTAACGTATGTGACTTGTCTTTTGAAGTCTGAAATGCGTATAGCAAAATGTTTTAATGGTAAGACAACGATAAATGGAAGTATTGTGACGTAAAAATGCGCTGCTAACAATAAATTGCCATATTGCAACATCCTCTTGATTCGCATTTGAGCGGCTAAAGCTAACATGATGTTGCATTATGGGAACAGCGATTAACCAGAACATTCTGTCGCCACAGTTCAACGTGACTGTTCTCGATAATTCTGCTGAAGAGCCATTTCCCAACATAACTTGATCGCTACGTTACAGTTCGAGCACATCCTGAATCTCAAAAGTGCATTTCGAATCGTATTCTAAATAGAGATTTACGCTGAGCAAACTCTCTAATATCTACAAATCAGTTGTTCAAAATAACAATTAATTTCACATCTCTACTCTTTACATTGAACTTTTCTTTTTTTTAAATCCCTGAATACAAACCTACATATGGGGACAAAGGTCCTTCCAACACTTTGACTTCAGACATTTATCGACTTCACTCCTTTATTGCACATCAAATAATTATCTCACAAATCCTTAAATCATTTAGAAGTGTTCGACTTAGTTTCATCCATTGATATTAAAAGGAGCGCCTCGATTCCGGTAGGTGCCTTGCGACCGTTGGTAGAAAAGCCTAATGTAGGTAGACTACCGTTCACAATAAAAATCCAGTCGCTCTTCTCTGGAGAAACCAACAGATGCCACAGATCAGGGGGCTCGGTAACGGAGGTCATTTTTAGTCAAGAAAAGAAGAGTAATGGACGTTTCTAGGGAATCCTAATTCTTCGTAAACGGAATTGTTAAAGCCCTAAGATTCGAAACCTGTTTAGAAACACTGGATTTAATGTTGTCAGCTCCTAATGTAACAGTTGTTTAAACCACAGGACAGTTCTATTTTAGCTCTTGAGCTAATGTGATAAGAGAGCGGTCTAATCACTTGTTTTTATTTCAAAGGTTGTTCACACTGAAAGTATTTCAGAAAACGATTAAAAAAAACTGTATTATATTTTAAGTCTGAAACAGATTAGACACTGGCCTTTTTGGTAGCGGAAAACAATTTTTCATTTAGTAAACAAAAGACAACGGTAACATTTTCCGCACATAACTCTCTAAAACATTTGACAAGAAAAGACAACGCGTTCCATTTGAGAAGTTAATAGAGCAGAAAAAGCCTCAAATGAACAAGATGCCGGGGAGAGTTGAGAAGGGTGCGCTCAACCGCGCTTCCGGGAACTGAGCGAGCAAAAAGGCGATGATCGACAATGACATAGCACAATTAGCAACGCACCTCGTAAAAGATATATGCGCTGAACGGAGTTGTTCGAGCGAGACCAGGTCTCCCCTCGCAGCATGCCCTGCGCTGACACTAGCAGCTGTCTCCCGTTGCTTCCGCCATTCAATTTACTGCGCCAAACTAACAATTGCGGCTCAGGGCATCACTGTAGTGCCTCTGACCGCGAGGTCCTAGGTTCGAGTGCCGACGGTAGCAGGATTTTCCACACTAGCTACAAAGCTGGTCGATTGTCAGCCGCTCTCTGGCGAAGGATTCAAATGATCAGCTTTTCTAGATGTCTGTGTCGTTTCTCCGATCAACACCAGGTGAATGCAGGAGTAGTACCCTAAAAAAAGGGTCACGGCACGCGCGCGAGTTTCCTTCCTCTTCCTTAACGAATTCTCAGCTCTGATACTTATACACTTACATGAACTACACCATTACACATTTCGGGAGATCAGTTGTTACCTTGGAGCTTGTCCCGGTTGGGGCGGTGCCCTGCTAGTGGGACGCACCTGGTTGCGAAACACCCCGCTCACCGACGGATAGGTCCGCACCGGATCACGCTAGCCAGCTGGGGAAGATCACCACCATCTCTCGCAATAAAAACATGTTCTACACTTACGGTACTAATGACCTCAACAGTTGCCGCGTCCAGAATCAATTAATTAATCAATCAAAACAACGCATCTTGTAAAATATATACGCGCGGAAGGGAGCAGTTCAAGCGAGTCTTGATTTCCTCTCCGGAGCCCTGACGTTGCTCGCTGGCTCTAGTAGCTCCCTCCAGTTGCTTCTGACATTAAATTCACCTGCGCCAACAGATGACAAATGAAGGCAGGCAAGAAAATACTTCGAGGTGTCCCTCTCATATTTTGATGATTATTTCATTGAATTAATTGATTGATTAGGGATTCCTGGAGCGTCAACGACTAAGGTCATTTTCCCGTTAGCACAGTGCATGCTTTCTTTTCGGAAAATTTCGGTTATCTTCTCCCACTGCCTGGCGCGATTCGACTCCGACGTTCGTCAGCTTGCGGGGGTTTTCCCCAACCAGGTGTCTCCCACCAACAGGGCACTACCCCAGCCGAAACAAGCTCTAGGCTCCCAGCTGGTCTCCCAACAAGTGTGATACTGCAGTGTCTGCGAGTGTGTAAGTGTATGTAAGGAACGAGGAGAGGACAAGAAGAGGAAGGAAATATCGCGTGCAGTCCGTAGCCCGTTTGTTAGGGTACTGCTCCGGTATTCGCCTGGTGTAGATAGGAGAAACAATAAACGTCCGTTCAGAGCAGACGGTCGGTAGAATTTTCCTTTAGACTACACCTGAATTCGACCTAGCTATGTAGCTAATTTAAGCTGCACGAGACACCAACAAATTACGAATTGTTTTGCTTGCGACCAAGAATAACTTTTAGAGTAGTGATATCGCTCTCTGAAAGTGAAGACAATAGCAGATTTCTCGCTTTCACAGTAACAACAAAAACCAATACCAAGAACCAAAATGCCGTATAAAAAGTTTGCGACCAAGGCATTAAAAATTCTCTTTAGAACATGTTTCTGTATCATGTTTAAGAGATAAACTACTCCCTAATACAACATCGAATTTCAACATTTTCCCCAAAAGTATTCAAATAAAGAGGAAAAGGTCTTAAAAAATTAATATTATTTTACCGTTTAAAACCAAATGAATGTTCGCGTTTTCTGAAAGGAGTTTTGAGAGGTAACTCCCTAAGTTAGCACAGTATTTTCTCCAAAATTTTGATACGAAAACCGATTGACAGCTTTGTTTTCAATATTTACATGAGTAACTAAAAGAGAATCAACATGTCATAACGATATTAAACGATATTTTGTCGCTGCCATGTCTATGTGTTCTACAGTACTGTAATTTAAATATTTAGCCACCTAATGTGTTCTACTAGCAATTGTGTGGATATTGTTTTCTACTTCAATGTCTTACGTTCCATTGAAATCATTGTTGATAGGCAATGTTAACACCAAGAAGGGGTAGTATTTCAGTGAAAATCACTGCTCTTCGAGTTGAGAGTGGTGGAAAGCCGAATAAGGTTTGACATCGGTTATTTTTAATATTTAATCTAGTGTATATATTTTAATGACTTGTCCTTTATGATATAGAAAACTCGACACATGTTCCTAATCATAGGTTTCCATTCAGTGTAGTATTATGGAGAATGGTTCATTGAAGCATTCATTATACACATAGAATACAGAATAAAGTAATTGCAGGCATCTACTCTGCAAACAAGTACAGACACCCTGTTATTTTAATCGCTTGTCAATTTATTTCACCAACGTGAATAGTCAGTCAACCGCTTCACGGTTTATGGATCGTCATTATCGTTCAATTGTAGAGATACTTGCCGGTCCCCGACAGACTTCCCGTTAGTTAAGCCCATCTACTGCTTTAGCATTCCATACAAATATTCAATCTTCGTATGGGCGATCAGAGTTACAACGCTTTAAATATATTTAAAGCCATCGTTTATATTTAAATTTTTTTATTGGATCCAAGTTTGTTGTAATTATAAACGAAAATAGAGACAATCCCTACTAATTTTTGAATTAAATTGCCTTGCTTTTTTTCTTCGCCAAGAAACATAAACCGATTGATGGAGAGCACATAAAGTCTAATTGTCAGTATGATCTAAGACTACTTCTTGAAGAGTGAAGATAGTTATAGTGGCTAGTGGTAACTCCAGTAGAAGTAATGTTGATTGTAGTTCGAGACGTCATGATAATAATGGTAGTGGTGATGAAGAGGTGACGCTGAAAGTGTTGATACAGTAAGGACAATGGGTAAGCTGTCGATGGTGAAATCGGTAGAAGGATGATTGAGTGGAAACGGGAAAGGAGGGAAGGGTTTGTGGTCGGTGGGTAGGGATGTGGAAGGAGGCGTGGAGGGGTCGGCAGGAGGAGCAGGTGTATGACAGTGCAGAGCGGTGCGGGGCACGGTGGGCCTGTTGTCGTAGGGTGCGGCATGTCGGTGATATCGCAGCCGTTGGCGTAGCACAGGTTGTGTCACCGTCAGTCCGGACACCAGCCGCAGCCAGCGGGAGCCACGACCAGCTTCAGTAACTCCTAATACCGTCTATTAGGCGCTCCGTTCTTCAGCCCCCCCAGTGAAGAGAAAGTTCGTCATTGGTTCCACAGACCACACCGCCCTATATACACCGAAGCTTACGACTGCGTTCCCAACAGCAGCGCTCCTCTGCCTACTCTCTACAGAACGGAGAGACGGAGAAGGCAGACCAATAAAAGACCAGGCCCGATGCTGCTGCTGTTCAGCGGCGAGATGGCGAGTTATGTTTCGAAAAGTTGAGACGAACGAGAAAGAAAAGGCGATCGGAAAAGTTGTTTCACCGCCAATCTCGCCGGCCTTTTCGTTCTCCTTTGTCGGGCGCAAAGGAGGAGGAGGAGGAGAGACAGATCAGAGATGAGGAGATGGAGAATGAGGAGGAGGAAGAGGAGGATGTGGAGTTGGCGGATTGCTGACTCGCACCCCTCAACCTGCGTTTTCCCTGGAGCTCCAAGTTTCCGTAACACGACGAGAAGTAGGTAGCTCTTTCTCTGTCCTGCACAAGCCAATTACCCCATCGCGAGTTCCCGGGTCAAGTTACGTTTTTATAACCTGAGTTTCCCGGACGATACTTGGCTGGAGGTATTTCAGCGCCGACGGAAGAACAGAGAGAACAATTTGTTTTGCTGTTCCAAATCGTCTGTGAACATTCCGCCTTTATAGAATTGTGTGATGCAAGGACCATACCGAATAGTCTCGTAACCACCTGCTTTAGTTATATAATAGCCAAATAAACTAATGTTTGAGTCAGTTATGTAGAAATAAAATGTAAGGTTTGGTCAAACCTTCAGTCTGATCCTCCTTGGGACTAGGGAATTAACACTTGATTTAGTGATAATTATTAATTATTGGTTACAATCGTGCATTTCTATCAGATTAAATATTCTTGATTTAGTGCATCCGTCAATTAAAACATCAACAAAGAAAATGACAATGAGACGCATGAGAAACATCCCCCTCTGACTCTCGCTCTCGGTGAATTGCAAGATATATACCATATTAATTCTGCAATTTTATTGACTAATTAAACGACAATGTGAACTTTTTTTTTAAAAAAAAAGGTTCCCAAGTAATAATTTACCTCGTGCAGTCTTTCTTAAATAGCTTGAACACTTAAAAAGAACTTCTCTCATAACATTAAAACTTTTCCTCACAAGACGTCAGTAGTTCGTCACTCCAACTTCAGAAGCAACCCGAAAACTGCTATTTCAACCGAGCTTTAAAAACGACATCAGAGCGCAGTCCGGCAAGATGCGTAAATTAACGGAGGGATTAACCTTTCAAAGAATATTAAAACTTAGAAACAAAGCAAAACCGAATAAAAATAGTAAAAAAAGATAAATAAACCATCTGATTGCAAAAGAAGTCACAACTGAAACTAACTAAACAATATTTTTTAGAGACCTTGGTGGTACAATATTTAGATAGTATATTTATAGATATATTTACAAATATATAAGTTCATCAATATTATTATAATAGAATGCGTTCGTTATTCTCGCTGTACAACTTGTAAGTGGATGAAGCAATTGGTTTGTTAATGCTGTGCAAATGGAAACTATCTCGCGTCAGGCTTTCAATGTAACATTTCACTCATTCAGGCTTCACATAAACATCAACGTCTAAACTGAATTTCACACATAAGAGAAAACATTCTGTAAAAAAGCAGTTACGTAGTTTTTAGACGCTCGTCGCTCCAACTTCGCCCACAAACCAGAAAACGCGCTCGTTTGAAAATCCGGAAGAACTGTTTCGTCGTCGGCGACATCAGCGCTCCGTGCGGCGTGGCGCATAAACGGGCCGAGGCAGGTGGTTTCGCCGGGAGAACAGCCTCTTCCAGGGCGGGACGGCGTTGTCGAGACATTCGCGAAGCGGCTCTACGGCCACTGCCTGGCAGCGTTTAGCCGTAAACAACGAACTGCGACCATTCGAAGCTGCTTTATGGCCGCCTTTCTCTGGCGCTTCCTACTTCCACCGCTGCGACTGGAAACGGGTCGCTGCGACTGACAATACGTCACTGCGCCTGCCAACATGTCGCTGCGATTGCAAATTAAGCTCGTTACTTCTCCGAGTTTGAGTAATCTTCGAACACCGTGTTAATCAAAATATCTAAGTCTTGCGGCTGGCCAAATTCGTACAAAAGTTAAGTCTCTAAATATATTTTCCACTTTCTATTAAATATTATTTAAGTATTAAATCACAGTACAAGACTTTTTAGATCTGCACATTATTTTAATATAAAAATGATTAAAACATTTCATGTTTCTAATGGTGAGTAGTCTAGAAAGTTTAGATTTGCGTTTTGGCTGTAACTTTGGCTGGAAGGCTAGAACTCAAGAGATCTGGAATCGTGAGGATTGTCTGAAGAATTCCGATTTAAAATCAAATTTAACCTTCAGACGTGACTATTTAAGTATGGTGTCTGGGAATTACAACTCTAATAACGCGAACCTGTCACTACAAACATACTGCGATTGGCTGAACAAGCGTTTTGAACAGTGAGCGAACGTATATTGCGAGTGTTTTTTATTTACTTTTCAATTTACATCAAAGCGGCACTCTTGAAATAAAGAACATTAATAGTAAATGAAGGATGCGATTTTACCGCAAAGCATTTGCGTTGTTCTCTTGAAAAAGAGTTTTCTTGAGAAATAGCAGTGATAAATGTTATGTTCCTTAGAATTGTATTCATAATTATCATTTGGGATGATTTTATCTTCATGAATAATAATTTTCAGGGATTAAAAAATTACATACAGAGAAAAACATGTTTTTATTTGGCACTAACAAATATACTTCATCTGATGTTTCTTGTAAATTAAAAAAAGTTAAATTTAAAAATACTGCTCACGAAATGTTAAATAATCGTTTCTACACTGGATAAATGATGAAATTCATTGAATACTTTCCTCGCTTTTGCGTTAAAGAGTAATCACCGTACTTCGGATTTTTATTTATGTACTTTACACTTTCGAAAAAATGCATACGTGTTATTATCCGCTCAGTAAAGGAAACACAATATTAATTTGACTTTGTTCATGAATTTGCTCACGGCCACGAGTTCTTGGAACTGTATATTACCATTTTTTCTTCAAATTGATGTTTTTTCATTACAACAAGCGTTCCGGAGATTGAGCAAGTGTTCGAAGGCTTCTGAATTAGAAGAATGAAACGATTTCCAATGGCTGATGAATGAATCATTGAAATACATTCCACGAATACGAATTATTTAAAACTCAACATTCAAATCAAAATTCAGTTCCGAGAAGAAAACATTTCTCGAAAAAAGTAATATTTTTTTTACATCAAATACAAATATTTTATTGACGTTGAACAGGTATTGGACATCCAACACCGGAGTGACAGAATTTTGGACTCTGATCAAAGCAAAGAGGGCAGAATATGGTACGTGATGGATACATATTAAGAATTCATGCACTTACCATGCAGGGCCTTCAGGTATGCCTTTCCAGCTTGGATTAGCTGCCGGGCACCCGGGTTGAATTTGTCAAGGATGTTCTGTAACAAAGAAAATATGAATGAGCATCTAAGAAATATAAAATATGGAATACGCTGAGACTGATTTACAATTTCTGCTTCTTTTTTTCTCTGGCGATTTAACAGCTGAAGCTATTTGTCGCCGGAGAAATGACGATCTCCATTTATCCACGTATTTGGTTGCTCCCATTTGGCAATATTGTAACAGCGTGATAGAGAATGGGAGTAAGTAAAATGTCTTCCAGTTTGAAAGGAAAGTATAACTAGGAAACATTTTGGATTTTTACAGTTTTCTTTTAGGTTGAGGCCCTTTATCGTTCCTCGTATGTGTGACACAGCTCAACTTGCTTAACGCCTCTTCCAAAGGCGTGTTTTCAAATGAGTTTGTCTTCCTTAAATCTCTAATAAAGTATAAATTAAATAAATAAACCATATGAACTCGGTGTGGTAATGCAGGCGTTGCGAGTCAACAACAAACTTCATTGACCGAAAAGGCCCAGTTCTGGCATTCATCGGGAATTGATCGGATGGCAGCAGTCAAGCGACTACTCAAAGCCACTGGCTTCTTTCGTTTGAGATCATGAGGCACGAAATATTAGTTGATCATTTTGCCTTGTGGATGGAAATGTAGACACGACATGGCATAATCGATTTTAACTGTTGACCCTGTGTCGTATCTTGAGGTTCTGCTCCGACATTCGCCTGGAACTGATCGGTGGAAGCTGCGGATGTGATCGATCAGAACACCGGATTAACCCGGCTAGCGCTGTGCCCGGAGGGGACATACCAGGAGGAGGAAACCCACCCCCTGCTGGATTCCATCATCCAGCGGAGGACGAACTCCACGAACTGGGCCTGTAAGTAATACAACATGGACAGTGACAGAATATTACAGTTGCGTTCTGTGTTCACTACCATTCTTAGGTCACAGTGAACAGCTAATCCCTTATCCTCAAATGTCCCATCTCTTCTGCTCACCATGTCAGGTCGGCTTTTCTGAACCTTAAGAATTGATTGGAAGTCCTCACTCACCACAGCAGCCAATTTTTTGGGTTCTTAAAGTTCAGCCAACTTCTATTCGTATGTGCAATGTGGCACATAGGGATGGAGACCAGCATATAGCTCATTTCGAAGGATGTGAATGAGGCAATGGGTAGGATGACCGCAAGATGGGATAGAAAGAATCATACGCGGTCCGTGCCTCTTAACCTAAGGTACAGTTCTGACATTCGCTTGTAATTAATCGGAGGGAACCACTGAAACATCCGAATGCTGAAGTGGTACCTTAAAAATTGTACAAGGATCTCGCACGATCCTTCCTCCCCCACATTGTTCTATTTCCTGACGGATCCTCCAGGACCAATTTGAATTTTAGAAAAACGGCGAAGGACAGGATGTTCCCATACATACGCTGTATTTAAACACGACGTTTACAGCACTGTACGCCAATATCCGAAAAACTTAAATCTTATTACAATTACAATCCTAGTAAGAACCCGTATTAGGACAGCGAATGGCATAATTAATGGATAGATATAGTGAAACAACCAATGTGACGATATCCTGGAGATGAGCATTCGAGTTAAAAAGAAGTTGATTACGTTTGTGCCCAACTTTAAAATGCTCAATAATTATTGAGCTAATGTCGGGGGTGGGCAGCGGGTTTAAAACCAAATCCTGCGCTTTGGAAAGAACAACAATTTAAATTACATTAAACTATCATATCAGTCTTTCTCATTGCCACTCCCCCCCACCCCACCACATCGATATTCGGAAAGGGCGGACAAAGGGCAGCCTCTCGCTTAATGGGCGGATTGTTGAAAACACATTTGCGCGCGACAATCCATCAGGTGCGATTGAGAAGCGCGGAACAAAATTCCGGGGCGCGTGGGGGCGTTTCAGTTAGCGCGCAACGGGCGCGCCACTCCCCGGCTGCCGGCGGCAGACCGACATATGAAATTTCGCGGCGCGCAACAGTTGATCGCACAATTAGCAACCACAGTGGCCAGGCTGGGCCGCGTGGGTCTGAATGCGGCGGGCACACGGACAATCAGCACGACGCACAGTGGGCCATGTTGGGCCGCGGCGGGTCTGAATTGGTCTGTACTGTCGTGGGGTTAAGAACATTTCATGTGCAGGTGAACAGGTTCATTCTGTGCAGGTGAACTGTTGATGAGTTAAACGTATTACTTGAAGAGGCGCAACTTCTTTTTTTGTAAAATAATTTCTCATCTTTCCTCAATTGTCGGTCTATTCCTACATTGAGTACAGTTATATTTGGTGATAAACAGAAGAATGTGAAAACAGCATTCTTTAAATGAGCATACATTCTCCATTATAGAAAGTAGCCAATTACAGTTCGCCTCAACATAAAACAGTTAAAAAATCATACCTTCTTAACATGTTAATTTATTCTTGAATTTATTGATGTCCACTTGGAATAATGGAAATACTTTTTGGAACGAGATGCGACCAGAATGTGACAACTGTTTTGAACAAATTAAGTAAAAATTAGACAAAAATGTGGTGACTAGAAGAAGGAGTACAGCTGGTCCGCTAGCCGTTTCTAACCAGTAGGCCCTAGGGTTCAAGTCCCGACTATGGCACGATTTTCGTCCTTAGTAGATAGGTTGCTAGGTTGAATTTAGCTGCTGTCTGGAGGAGAATTCTAGCGGCCGGCTGCTCTGATCGGTGGTTATCCACGGTTTCTCGTAACAAAATCAGGCGAATGCGGGAGACGTGTCCTAACAATCGGGCCAAGAACCGGGCGCGATCATTCCTTCCTCTTCCTTGCCCAATCCTCGCCATGCACATAATGAAACGTACTACAGTACTATACATGCCGGGGGACTAGTCAGGAGGTGAGAGCTTGCTCTGGCTGGGGGGTGATGCGCTGGTGGGAGATACCTGGTTGGGAAATACCTCTCAAGGCAAAATGAAGGTATCTATCCATTGGGTGAAGATCACAGGCACCCCCCGTGATAAAACAAGCACTACCCTTACGAGAGTAACGACGTTAGAAGTTGTCGCGTCCGGAAACACCAATCAACCAATCAATTCGCTAGCCGTCCGCCACCTCTGTTGTGCCTCCCCGGGGCTTTTGACCTCGCGCCGCCGCTGCCTGGCGCCCTCTGTGCGTCGCGTCGCCCCGGGCGGTGGGCGAGGGGCGCAAGGCGAGGGGCGGCGGGCGACGGGCGCGGTCGCAGGGGCTGCGACCGGCAATTACGCTCATTGCGACACAATGCAGCCGCTCCGACGCAGCCGCCGCGACGCGACGCGAGGCGACGGCGCGCATTCCGGCGCGCGAGGGAAAAGCGAACACTTTGTCTTCAAACAAGAACGACGCGCGACGCGGCGCGGGGGCTCTGGGCTTAGGCTGCGTTGGCGGCGCCGCGCACGGAAAGCCTTTGGTGGCTGGCTTGATGGGAGGGTAGCGCAGGAAGTCGTGTTTAACGCTCAGAAAGCGCCTGAAATAAGTTTATCGCGGAATAACGTAACACAAAAGTGTGAAATTAGTCATGTTTCATTAGAGGCAACCAGTGATCACCGGAGGCATGCATGCTGCATGTTAAGCATGCCTCATGTGGGCACATATCTGTGTCAATAAAATTGGGATAGGCTTGTGCTGATTCTAAATGTGGAAAACATGATGTTACCTAACAAATCTTTTGTTCGATGATAAAGTTTACTCGTAAAACTACTCTATATTAATGTAATTGATAAATTAAGAAGATGACTACACAAGTATTTTGTTGTTAATTATTAGCATTACAATTGTTTAATAGGTTTATAAAAACGATTGTTTACCTCTTATGACTTAATAATAGGAAACGAATTATTGAATGAGCGCTTTCTAAGTGACGTAGGCACACGCGGCGTAATGCACTTCTTTTTGAAGTTTGTAAATAAATACTTCTACATAAAGACTGAAATATATTGTTTGATTGTTTTGTGTCAACAGGCGTGTCAACTGCCATGGTCATAAACCACGTAAGTATAAAGCATGTTAAACCCCGAGAGGCAGATTTCCTCCCCCACTGGAAGTAAGATTTGGCGCCGACCGAATAACGTTGATAAAGAATAGATCGACTTACACGACATAATCAGTGACTAACAAGAAGATTGGCAGTGCCTCCAGAGAAACGTGTTATTCCTTAAAGTTACTTCTGCCACGGAACGTCAGCGATCTTTGCTACACCAATCTTCGTATCTCTCCTCTTGTTATAACACATACTTACACATACAAGTACTTCTCTATGATACGATCTCTGAAATCTCTATGATACGATGAATCTCTACATGTCGGCAGTCCAATCGAGATGATCTTAAAGCTGTCTCGGCTAGCTACACCACAGTGACGGTGGTCTGCGCTAGCGCCCCGGTGGCGGTGTTGGCTAGAGGGAGGAAAGCCGGCGTGAAGGTCGGCGCTGGATTTCAGAATCACAGCTCCCTCCAGTTATAATCTGCACTACACGGTCGAGATTAATGAGGATAACAGTTGAAAAGCCTCAAAATATAAAATAATTAATAAATCAATCGACGTTTTGTACGTTACTTGTCCTTTGCGATATAGAAACAAATGAACACTGAGTCTCGTGTCCTCTCCCTCAGTTAGTAGGGGGTGTTTTGATCCTTATGACCCAGGTCGAACTCTCAGTGCTACTTCTATTGAAAACTTCATAGGGGTTAATTCAGGGGTGGTGATATGAAGCTTCCACAAAATGGGGTGAGTGAGGTGTAATCTAAAAAGTGGCCAGAGTGGATATTTTCTTGTATTTCTGATGTTGTATTTAGTACAAATAAGGAAACATTTGTTCAGTTGTGGGTTTCTAAGAAGATTTGTTGATTTTTTTGTGTAGGAGTAAGACACGGTGCTTCAGTTGCTAAACATTGTTCAGCACAAGAGCAAAATTGATTGTTTCACCAAAACAGTAAAATTCAGTAATATTCCAGGTCGCGTTTTATTCGTCGCAGATTTTGTCCCGCCGGGGCCACTAAAAATTCGCCTACCACTTCAAGCACCGTCTAATCGTTGCGTCTGAACATCTGAAATGGATCTCCGTCGCCCGAGTCAGCCAGAAAAATAAATACGACCGACTAATCGACTTCGTTATCGAGGCAGATCGACCGCTGTCCCGCCCAGCGCGACGCTCGGGGCGACCGCAAGAGGGCGCAGCGGAAGTGGTCCAGACGCAGGCGGTTGCTGCGGCAACGGCGGCGGGGCGAACGGGTGCGGGGCTCGCACAGTGGGCGAAACTCTGCACAAGCGGTTGATCAGAGGTACGATTTAACTAAAGTCTTCTGGGTTGCATCTCACGGAAAACTAATGGGAAGTTTTGTGTTGGTATTAGAACCCTTGGGATCACGATGGTTTTGAAATTATATTTTAGTAATATAATAATTATTTTTTCTCCCCTTTTCATTACGTTTTTAAAATGGAAAACATTTTGACAGCGATTCAAAAATGTTAACCTCAGCCACCGATCACTTGACGCTCTTTGGTAATTTATAAACATTTTGTTAGAGAGAATAATTGTATAGACAATCGTGCATTAAAATAACTCATAATGCATTAGAATTGAGAATTATTCCTCACAGAAATCAATAATCAATTTTTCAATAAAAAATTGCCGTTCGATCGCTATCCGCTCTCGGTTAGCGGTGTTCAACTAACGACGTTTTGAGTATCAACCCTGTTATTTTAATCACCGTAACATATGAAGGTTTTAAAAAATTGCTACATATGAAAAGGGACCATCTCATTGCGTATGAAACTTCATGTAAATCGAAGTATACGAATAACTACTTACAAATGAATATATACACGTATTTAGTAAGTAGCTTTATTCCAATGCATATAAAACTACTTATTCACACAAATAGCCGTAGAAAATTAAGATACGTATAAAACAATGTATTAGGTTAGTGTAAAACTGTACGAAGTGAAACTGTTTTCTTTCGCAATGCGCTTGTTTCGTGCC